CAAGCAGTTCCCTGTCTCTCTTGAGCTGAGGGGACACAGAACCGGACACAATATTCCAGATGGCCTCACCAGGGCAGAGTAGCGGGGCAGGAGGAACTCTCTCGACCTACTAGCTACTCCCCTTCTAATATACCCCAGGCTGCCATTGGCCCTGGCCACGAGGGCACATTGCTGGCTCATGGTCATCCATTCAGTTCAATTCTAGCATTTGCTCTGCACAAATTATGTGAGTCTTCTTACTGAAGACCTTGAGGTACAGATATATTCCGGCTTTAGAAATGTATCAAAGTCAAGAAGAGTTGTCCCTGCAGAGGCAGCAGTCCCTCAGCAATTACAGGTATTTCTCACTTATAAATATTTATCAGTGTAGAATATCAGTATTTCCCATATCTTTAAGTTCACAAGCCTATGTTAAGTTGCACATATAGATATATATAACATGGTCTGCAACTGAGAAATGAGAAAAAGGAGATTAAAACTGACCAATGATACTAAGGACAACTAGGTACTGGAGCTGAATCAATAGTAAAAGACAACTCCCTCTTCTTTAAATACTTAAACAGGGAAACATTTCCCCTGGGGTTTGAAAATACATGGAAAGACTTTCTTTGTTGGTAACTCCATCTAAATTCCTACAGTAAGGCTAAGAGTAAATTTAGAGAAAAGTTCTCATAGACAGTGCAATAGGAAAATGATTATGCTGTTGGTAGGAAGGAGAGGCAGTGGGAGGAGGATGCAGCAGGACTTTTGCTGCCTTGTCAAACCAGAATGTCTTCTGGAAACTAAGAAGATGCGTTCAATCAACTGGCTCTACCAAAGAACTTGGGACACTTTATTCTTTTTTTTTTTTTTTATTAGTTGTCATTCTTTGACACGATGAATACTTACAGCAGTATGTTAAAAAAGATACAGTTAAGTCTCTTGGCATCACTGCATAGCAGTCACAGCATTTTCACACAGTCTAGAGCTTCCTTTCAGAATGATGCATATGGCATATATACGCACATATGGGGGCTGAGTCTTGGTCCCAGTGAAGTTGGTGGGACCAGTGTTTGGCCCAAAGAGTTGTATAAGATACGTGAATATATATATATATAAAATGCTTTACAATAAACATGACATATACAATCTTGAATTCAAAGATAAGCAGAATATATTTTACATCCAAGTCAAACTTATGCTCTGCACTTGAAGTTCATGTACCTAAAATACTGGATGGAGTATAGAAACAATTAATAGAATAATAGTTTGCACCAGTCAAAGTAATTTGGATACATATTCATGATGAAGCTTGCCTTAGGTTTTGATTTTGTTTGTGATTTGAGGTGGCTTTTTTTGGATTTGCAGGATGTTAATTCAAATTTATTTTTTTAATTTTGTGGGCCATCAGTGGGGGGGATGGTGGCATCAGGAGGGGAATGGATATACGTTCTGTACAAAGCTGAATGACTTAAAATATAAGGCTATAAATCACGGCTGGTACCTTGATACTTGAAAAAGAAAAATTTAACTACTTGACTGTTTTTCCTTTCCCAGGAGAGTCCATTTGGAAGGGCTAGTAAGTATTCTGCCTCTGTTTTGTTGGAAACTTCTAACAGAAATTTCAATCACAAACTGGAAAAGCTGTTGAGATAGCCATGCCATGTGAAAACAAGCTTATCCCATTTACTGTAGTAGCAGCCTTCTGATGATTTGGGGAGACTTCTTTAACTTGCTTCATGAAAACCAGTAGTTTATAAAAAAATAATTTACCTTAGTTGTACATTAGGTTAGATAAAACTGCAGATCATGTGTTTTTTTTATAGTCTCTACTTAACCTCAGCTACTTCTCACTATTTCTGTCTTTCAAAGGCATACATTTTCAACAGCCTTTTTTTTCTCCTTTTGGCCCGTGGCTGGAATGTGGGCCCTTAAAAACTCAAAGATAAGTAAAATTTTTACTTAAGAAAAAAAAGCATATATATGCATTATTTTAACCAGCCTAAAAGTTTCAATTACCACCATTTTATTATTACTGTTGTTTATACAGAATTTGCCTCTTTGATGGTATGGAAAAAAGCTAGGTCTTAAATGAATTGTGTTTTAACCTCCTCCTCCTAGCAGTTTTCTGTTTTCTTCCTTATATGAAAAACATAACTCAGTTTTAAAACTCTGGAATCTTTTAGCTCAACTGGCCTGGTAAGAAAGAAAAATACATGTCCAAGAGCTTTCTGTAAAGTGGCTAATGGGGATGACAAGGCAGAAATCTATATTATCCACATACATGTTTTTCTATTCTGTGCATCTAGCATTCTGCTTGGCATACTGGGGAGAAATCCCAGTACTGAAATGTCCTCCAAACTAGAGAATACTAAATATATATGTGTGTATATACATATATATACACACACACATACATATGCTGAGCGCTGGTGCTGTTGGATTGGGCTGTACTGAGTACGGTTTGGCTGCTGCTGCAGGAAATCAAGACAGCATTTTGCACTGCAGACCCCAGTGACTCTGGCTGCCAGGCATCTGCTGCCAGAGAGAAACTTTTCGGCATAATTCTTCCTAAAGCACCTGAGGCAGACTGGCCCAGACTCAAACTTGTGTAATGGGGTTTGGCTTACAAGTACAGAAGCAGTTCTGGAGCCACCCTGAATCTATTTTAACCATTGGTTCATGAGGCAAGGTGATGGAAATTGAGCAAGTATGTTGAGGGCACCAAAAAACCCCCTACAACCTGTTCATTTTAAGGGCGGCTCTTCCAAGTTGGGAAGTTTTAAGTTCAGTATGAGCAGATTTGTAATGGTCCCTGTAGGCTCTAATTACAGAAAAGGTCTTGGTTTCATTGTAGCTGTAACAGAACTTGATTTGTACCTCAGCTTTCCTGTTGGACCTATTTTCTGGAAGCTCCTCAGAAACAGCTCAACGATGTATCTGTCAAGAGCTGTTCATGCTGCTAGACACCGTGTTTGTTTTACTAAACTTCAGAACATTTAAAAAATTCTTTGAACTAGATGGAAAATGGCTTCCATTTCTTAGTAAAAAGACAAAACAAGGGAAATTATACCCTTTTGTATGTACTTAAGTGCTTCTAAGCAGCACATTACACTGCTTGTGTAATGTCCTAATAATTGTCCCAAATCTGTCAGGAGCTGGAAAGATACACCTAAAAAGCTGTAAAGTGGTGATGCTTCCACCCCCATCATCAGGTAGTTGAAAAGGCATTTATGTTCTGTAGTTAGAAACGATTTTACCCTACTACAACTCTATTTGCTTGTTATAGTTCTTCTAATATTGAGTTCCATTTAGAAGAGGGAGGAAAAAAAACGTTTTCTGCTGCTTACAGCTTCAAAAACAGTAGAGAAGAAAAACATTGTTCTCAGGATGGTATTCTCACAGCGATTTCCACCTTCCTACCTCACTGGGTTTCACTCTCTTTCTCTGAAGATACATGCCCAATAAATTAGTAAAGCACCCTTTTCTAAAACTTGAGCTTTTTATTTTCCTTCAGACATATTAGTCACCTAATGAGCATGAACACTTTGTCTGATCAAGTGAATATTCCCTGTAATCAAGAAAAAAAAATCTATTACATCTCCCCTTGCACTTTTATGAGTGAATATTATTTTTCTCAAACAACAACTTAAATAGCTCTTTCTCTGTTGGCCTCTCCAAGATACTCACATCCAAACACAATTATATGGCCATATCTGCTAGTTCTTTTGGAAAACAGCTACACTGATTTGAGGTACTGGGGGTTTACAACACCACCATACCTGAATGCAATGAATTTTTCCGGAAGCAGACAAGAAGGGGACAATCACTTTGGTGCAATGCAATAGTGTGAGAGAATACAATCTCATCAAAATGATGGAAGCTTATATAAAATTTTATAAAGACTATCTGAACTGAGGTTGCTTATGGCATAGATAAGGCCATGTAACTTTCACGACAAGAGACCCTAGAAAATTCCTCTGCTACTACAACAGTTAAGAGGATTTTTCTTAATAGTCTGACTACAAGATATTTCTTGCCTTCATTGAGAGAAATTGATCTAAAGGTCAGTTAAAGTATTTTATTTTTAATGAAAAGAAAAATACAAATGCATTTTGATGCTGTCTATCTAAGGAGGGAATGTGGGGCGAAAAATCAGCTACACTGCAATATCACTCAAGAAAACAACTGGACTCCAGAACTATTAGAATGTCGTGCTTTGTAGATCACTATGCTATTTAATAAAAATTGACACTCTTGAGCAAATGGCATTGGGGTGAAGTGTCAAATTACGTGGTGTTGCTGGGGTTGTGTTCTTTTCTAACTTAAAACTTCAGGCTCCGTGAGGCATTTGCCCAGACCAAATGTGCACGGTGCCATGGATTAACAACACGGACCCATATGGAATGTGTTCGAAGTTTTCAAGAAGTTATCCTGCCAGGCTTCATTCCTTAATGACCTTTGATACACTTTGCGTAGTGGAAAGGCAGTTGAGAATCATATCTTGTGATCATACAATTTTGGCAGCTATCAGAAGATGAAGGATGCTAGAAGTTAAGGCTTTTATCCACAAACAATGGTGTATATTAATAAACTCTATACCGTATGTACAAATGCTTTCTCTTGTATTAAAACTAACAGTATTCTGTTCACAGTGCCAATGTTTTTACAGGTAGCAATCCCACAGTACTCCAGTATTTTGGCATGGGAATCAGTAGCGCTTCGTATTTACAGAAAATGTACACATATGAATACAAATATGTTACTTGAAACAGTACTCAAAAGATAGGTCTGTTTGTGTTTCAAAGGTTTAGAGTGTACAACAACTTCCCTTTCAGTTGCGAGGGAAAAATGCTCCTTGCAAGGAGAAGATGCCCGTCTCTTATCCAAAGTGGCATAAAAATGATTACCAAAATGAGCCTTGTTACACTGGAGTTGTGTATACGGAGAGTAATGTCAGTCCAAGGTTTATAGATCTGTTGTTTAGTGCACAGAATACAAAAGTTAAAAAGGTTTCCGCTTTAAGTACTAAAATAACCAGACTCTCCTCTCTGCCTTCTGCGAGCGCTGTCTCACTCAGGCACTGTCCTCTGGATGCTGAAGATGCTGGTGGTTTCATGTGCAGCCCAGCTGCCCGCCTGGAAAGCGCATGGCGCTCTGGGCCTATATACATATGTCACAGTATGACTGACGGTAAATGAACTGGTAACCAAGAGCGCCTCCATCTCCTCTGTTCTCTCAGTAGTCCTCCCTGCTTCATGGGAGCCGTAACCAGCCCGGCTTCGGGACTGCTGACTGGGACCCCGCGTTCAGGCAGGTCAGAAGTGATGAACGGCATCAGGCATGCGCAGAATGAAGACAGGGGAGAGGAACGTGAAGGAGATCCAGAAAAGAACCCGGCAGAACTGCAGGGTTGTTCGTGAGGACCCTTACAGCTTCCGCTTTGCCATTTCTTCCCTTTCCACAGTCTTGACAACAGGCTCCGAGCTCCCCGGGACTTTGTTTGCTGCTGTGAACAAGATGGAGATAGCAGTGCTATAAGGAAAAGTGCAAAGCTGCCACTAAGGAGTCTCTTCCTTATTTAAATTCTGTTCTTGGCTGCCAGTCACTTGACCTGAGTGGACATTGCTCCTACTACTGCTGTGTTGCTTGTGGAGCAAACTCCTCCACTTGGCCTTGTTCCTCCTGAGATGGTTTAGCATATTTTCAGATAGGGGGGTGTCGCCTGTAAACTGGGCCCACCTCTCAAAGAGTGGCTCTACGATGTACGTCATGAACCCTGGGGAAACACGCAAAGGACAGCAGGTGAGGAATAAATTCATGCCATGAGTGCACTGCCCCACAGAGTGCCTCAAGAGAACATAGCAACATAAATGGCAAAAATCCAGACGAGAAATAACAATAAACCCTTAAGCAGACATCAGTTCCTTTTGAAATGCACAGCTTTTGGCCAGAACACGTGGCAAGATGTGGCTCTATTTGTACGTGCAACAGTAAAATCTGTGAGATACAGCATCCTTCTCTGAGGAGATTTCAGACTAGAAAGCAACCAGTGCTTAATCATATTTTGGTGGCAATTTTTTCTCCACAGGTATTAGAATGGCCCCCTTTTCCCCCATGCAATGTCTGTTTGTCTTTCTATTGAATATTTATCTTGGATGGGTTTCTTTTTCAACATTTTTATTTTGAATAAGAATTGTGACTCTTTGGTACCTGCAGTTCTTATTGCTAAAACAACTAGATTGGGAGTGGTGTGGGAGGGAAGTAAAGTTTCTCTTTGAGCTTGTGTGTACTGAGATAACTATGGTTAGAAGACAATGAAACTAATACTTACCGATCTGTATGCTTGGTACTGTATCCTTCTGCTGATTACAAAGTGGGCTTATTTCCAGTTGCAATTTTTGTTCCAGGTCACCTGCAGAAAAAAAAAAAAACAACCAAGAGGAAATAATTTTGTGACACTTTTCTTGCTTCTCCATACCTATGCCAGACTCTTATAGTAACTGCATATGTGTGGACAGAAGTAGGTTTTGGACTTTTTAGGTATCCGAGAAACTGAGTATCTATGCAAATAAAAAAATCTAAGGAAAGATGATTTTTGAATAATCATTAAATCTGAGCACTTAAGTGTTCTGAGAACACAACACTTTATAAGCATTGCAAAGATGCTGACAAAAAGGCAGTAGAAACTACTGCAGATGCAGAATGGTCACACAAGACAGTCTTCTGTCTTCTCCAAGACAGGAGATGTTTTTTTATATGCTTAAAGGTAATCAATAGCAATGATGATCTGTATGCTGGAGTGGTCACAGAGGAGCATGGGGGCTGGATTTAAGAATTAAGACAGAAAAAGAGCTCAGGGAGTCTCATTTACCCGTTGCCATCCAGCTGGAGATACCGCACCTCCCCACATAGGCATTAGTCCATGCAAAAAGTGCTGTAAGTGAGTTAGGTTTGGGGTTGTTTGATTTTTTTAATCAAACATGCTCTCTGTGAATGCAATACATTCATTCTATGTGATTGTCAACCCTCTCTGAGACATGGCCAGGTACCTCATGTGCTGCATGAGGTACAGAACCCTTCCTGGCTACAGCGTAGGAGGGAAGGGAGACAGTGCGCAAGCTAAGATGTGCCACTTGCCCTCAGACAATAATATTTGATCCATTTGATTTACTAATAAAGACGCAGTTTGGGCTGATTATGCAAAACTTTCCCATGAGTAAGATGGACCTGCTAGATCAGTCAAAACACTGTATTTAACCCATAAAGAAACACTTTGTTTTAAATCCACTGGTTTTGTTTAAACGCTCTTTTCTCACTATGAATAGACAGTCTTGACTTAAATACTATCGTGCTACTTGGGCTCTATAGTCCCATATGAAATATCACGTGCATTTTTAAGCCTTGCCTTCCTTCTCTCTGCAGCACGCAATTTCTTCCTAAATGTGAAGAGACTATTTTCAGTTTTAATTAGATATTTAAAAAACACCAGGGAAACGTTTTTAGCTACACATACAACCAAAAGGAACAATTCAACAAAACTGAGACAGTTTGTCCCGTTTCCAAATGTGCTGATTTTGACTGTACTCTTCTCCTCCTTTGGGTACAAGGAGGTAGAGAGGTCTACAGTTAACATTTTAAAGTGATAATGGTATCTAAATACATTCTATTTAATACTGGGTTTTGTATCACTTGCCAGGATTATACAGCCACCAGTGATAGTCAGACCACAGTTTCTGTATATTCTCCCACATGAAAAGCTCTTTTTCTCCCTGTTATACTTCTAACTAGTCTTATATGCTCCAGGATCCCCTTTCAATATTTTAGATATTATACTAATAAATCTTGAGTCTTGGGGAAAAAAAGCTTATGTTTGTAAGAGCTGAGTGTGCTGTCTGTCTCAGCATGGTCCTTCAACACATCAAAGTGAGGTATCACACAAATGGGGACCTGTCCTCATGAGCTGGGTATTGATTAAGCCTTGACTATACTTCTGACTCAATAAACCTGGCAAGTTGCTTATGTTGCTTCAAAAGCATCAAAGACACGTCATTATCTTAAACTGACATTGGCTGAAAATTAATTTGCTGACCTTGTTCTGGACTAACTGTACCAGGTATGAGCTTGGATATAGCTTAATTTAGTAGAGCAAACAATTTTACATGAAATGAGAACTTCATTGTGTGCTCTTCCAGTGTTTGCACCACTTGCCTTCAGCTCTCAGGATGCTTTGAACAAAGAATTTAGCAGTGATTAAACTCTGCTGCACCCTGTGTTGTAGCACAGCATGACCTTGCCTATGCAGATAGAGCCAAATGGTGTAATTAATGTGTTTCAAAAAATAACCCTGCCTGACTGCGCTCTCTGCAGGGGTCTGAAAACGTTTGCAAAAGGTTCTAGCCGAGCTTTGGCCCTTTCAACTACATGCTGAGAAGTGCATTTGAACCCTTTCCCTGCATTTATAGGCAGAAGAATGCATCACGTTTGGGAAACAGTGAAGGTAAGGCTCCCATTGGACTTGGAGTGGGAGCACGAAGAGCAGGATGGAACACAGCGGACAGCACTAGGATTTTGGTGCAGTGTAGCCCCGGTGCCACTCCAGCTCAGAAACACCAACGGTGACTGGAGGGTTCTCGGAGTCCAGCAGTGGGCTCTCCAGCCGAACTCAAGCATTGTGGCACAGCAGAGCCCCACCCCCGGCCTGACGCTGCTACGCAGGCAGCGATGACCGCAAAGTACTTGCTGCTCTTCTACCCCTTCCCACTTTTCAAACGAGGCAGGGCGTCTCTTCAACAGCTCGTTCCTGAGGGACATTTCAAGGCAAACCAGGTAGGCTGAATGCTACCTCTACCTTGCCACACAAAAAACCTGAAAAGCTGAGGTGAAAAGGGCTGACCTTGCCGGTAAAACTCTTCGCAGACCCGCTCGCTCCACTGTTTGCTCAGATCCCAGAGCCGGCAAGGGTTGCAAATGTCAGCGCACTTGAGTGCAATCTGAAAGCAAAGAAGAAAAGTAGCAGTGAGGAAAGAAAGTTATTGTCTCGCAGTGCTTCAGCACTAAGCCTGCAGTCATGGAACTCCCAAGCCTCACCAGCAATGCTGGGAATGGTTAAGATCACCTTTTAGAGACTCAGCGTTACCCAAATACGCCTTTTGAGGAAAGAGCATTTATTTAAGCCGCAAACAAAACCTTCATTCAGCCCTCTGCTTTACTGTAGCGAGAACAAGAGGAGGGCCAAATTCCAAGGCTGCAAAGTGTTTTGGATATTCCTTGCAAGGAATAAGCCAACAAAAGCCTCAGGCTGGCTCCTGCTGACTGCCTGGCTCAGCATCCACAGCTGATGATAGGGAAGGGAAGAGCCAAGCTGGTGTATTTGGGCATCATTTCTCTGCGGTCTCAGTGAATGACCTTGCATCTCACTTCAATTAGACTTCATCTTAAACGTCTGCATATTTTTTGTTTGCAAAGCCAAGCACAGGGCTCTCCACACTGCCCCTGGCTTGGTTTCACCTAGTTAACTAGTACTTTTTAAATGCTTTACAAGGGAACAAGTACAGGAGGGCAAGAGATTTTTTTAAATCGAGTCACTGCTTCAGAAAAGTAAACCATGCAATAGTCTGTCTTATTGCCTTCAAATGAGATGCCATATGCCTTGTTTCTTCACAGATTGAACTCAGCCTAACAGAGGTCAGAAATCTTTCTGGCACTCAGAAGGAAAACAAGAAACATTTCCTTTATAAATTCAGACCTGTGAACTGGAGGAGGGAAGTCTCCAAGTCACTTTTCTCTCTTGATTAAATTGATTAGCCTTCATGTTACCATCTACTACATGGACCTTTCACACATTCTTTAACTTTATCAAGATTTCTTGGTATTTTTTCTTTTCTTCTTCCACAACTAATCCACCAGATAATTAAATCTCACCACGTCCGCGCCCTCATTTCTATCTTCAAGAAAGCGCATAACAAACCTTTTGCCATAACTGAGCTCTGTAATCCCTCTGCCTTTGGCATTTGCACAACTTTATTGCCTAATCTGTCCAGAAATACGGTAAGTCCATCATCTTGCCCTGCATGGTCCATGCAGGAATCTGACAGAAGACTGTTTGATGGAGGACAGGCAACCAGACTACTACATTTCCCACGCTGCTGGAGCGGGAAGAATTAACAAGATCAGCACTTCTTTCCTTGCAAAGGTCACCTTTCCTGTAACCTCAACAAAGTGATAACATGTAGATGTTTGTTTTATAAATTATAATGATTACTTAAAATCCTTTACAGAGTGAAATTAATGTGATTTCTCCAGAGAAGCATGTATATGCAGCTACTTCAATCACAATAATGCTTTAATAGGTAGAGGTTTATTCTGAAAAGCCTGTTGATGACTGCAGCTTAGCTGGAAGAACCAGACTGAATCTATTTGCTTTTAAAATAAAGTATGGCTTCTTCATTAGCAGGGCAGATCCACCAGAGAAGCACCTACTGCCATGGCAACAGCTGTCTCTGCAGAGGCAGTTTCTGCACATCCATCACAGGAACAGGACTTAGGCATCTGATATCAGGGTGTCTTGGAAAGAACACCAACAAGCGGGCTCTCCCACACGGTGCTAGAAGAGAGACTATAATCAAAGCATTACCTGGCAAGAGAAGCAGTGATCTGGAAATAAAATCATTAACAGTTTATCTTCATTTCTCAGCATTTGACACTTTCCTCTATCTGTTGCATTCGCAGCTTTTTTAACTCAAGGAAATCACATAAGGATTTACTGGAGGCACCTTATGCTTTCCTGACATGCCAAGTGGCAGAAGAAAAGTGTTTGTGGTGACAGGTAAGGAGATGCTAATGTTCAGACATATTATTGCACACTACTTAACATGCAGATAGGAAGTACTGTATCTTGAAAAATTAATTAAAAAAAATAGTGGAAAATTATTTTTTTAAGTTACCTGAAGCATAAAATGTCTGTCTTGTGCATTCTCCAGCCTCAAATCTTGATTGTCAAGGTGAGATTTCAGACGGATCAAGAACTCATTCTGCCTATTGATGTCTGTTGCCAAGATCAGGGAGCCCAACTGCTGCTCGATGTCCTGTCTGCAATTAAGAAAAATAAGCCCCTTCAGTCATGGAACTGTTGAACATGAATAGCTCAAAACAACCTGCTAGGGAACATAGTTGACATAAATCTTCCTCTTCTTTTATGGATCCCATCTGATTTGTTTGGTTAGTTTCTGCTAGGTTTGCAGGCTACAACTGTTCTAGCTGCCTAAACAGGTTCAGGACAAATAGGTAATGTAGAAGAAAAATGCTTGTCGGCATAGATGGTTTTGAAAGCTTCTGAAAAGTGTAAAAAAAACCCCCAAACAACAACAAAAACACCAGCAGCATGACACATCTAGAAAAATGCTCATGTTACTTCAGCTGCTCAGAGCTGGGTGGTGAATACTGCAACTTTGAAGTTGCAGTTAAAGTTGTGAAGGATTGGACTGAAGTCCTTTAGAGTACAAATGAAGTTGTTGGTTTGATGCTTGGAGGGACACAGAGCTTATCTCTTCCAGCTAACTGGTTTGTATTTTTGGTAAGGCCCCCCTTGGTGGGAGTAATGCTGCACAAAACCACGAGGTAAAAAGTTAGCATCAACTTGGCCAAAGTGCTCATGTTGCTGCTGAAGATGATGAAGACTGAACCATGCCTTCTCAGTCAGGTGTGGAAGTCCTGAGCAGTCTCGATGCTACTTGATTAATCATTTGTCTCTATACTTCATGCTTTTTAATCACTTTTTAATCTATGCAAAATGAAAAATGCCAACAAGGGATCCAAGGAGGTCCACTCCTGCTGGGTCTCCCAGTGTTCCTGGCACTGACAGTAGCCATTCCTGTGCTGCATGGTCTTAGAAAACACCTGTGCTATATAACTTTTTCTCATGATTTCACACTGGCACCAAGAGAGGGCAGGAAGTTCAGCCTGCTCTGAAGCCTGGGCCTCTTCTCTTTGCCAGTGCCCTTTTAAGAAGAGCGAAGGAAGCCACGGACTAGTGCCAGTGATGCAGCAGACACTTACGTCACCTCCTTGGGCAGATGCGCGAGGAGGCGTGACTCTCGAAGCATGCCTATCGTAGACCGCCAGTGATGATTTTCCAGCACTGAAACGTTCTAGGGAGGAATAAAAGGAACGCATTCAAGGATTAGGAGGGTACCCATGGTACAAATACAGATTTGCCGTATCATGTGGTGCCTAGAGCTGGTTGGAAGTGCTGTAACATGAGCCTAAAGCACGTGCTTTTTTAGCCACCTCGGATTTGAGGAACTGGTCTAGATTTCTGTAGTTAAGGGCCTTGTGCTTCTAGGTTTCCAAGCTAAGGTCAGCCCTAGAGACCTGCTGTTCTACAGTTTTTGAGTCCTGCTGTGAACAGAGGAGCTAATCTCATCTGAGTGGGAGGTAGCTTGCATTCTAACAGATTTAATAACAAATGAATTAAAGCACAAGTGCACAATTATGTTTTTACCTCCTACTGATCCCACGTTGACTTCTCACCTTCTACAGTTTGAACATAGAGCAGACAAGAAAAAGAAAACTAAACTGCCAAATTTCCCTTGGCGCCAGGGAAGTCGAAGCTGCCTGGAGCTGCTCAGTGAAAACAAGAGGAGCATCAGTATCACTGAGCATCTGCAGGTTTCAGCAAAAAATTTTCAGTCCTTTTTGTTCGTTTGCTCCTAATCAAGTGGAACCAAAGTTAGGTTGGAAGAAATTCCTAGGGAACAGAAACCCAGCTTTCTAGGTTGTATGTAAATTACAAGAAATCGGGTCTCTTGCGTCTTTATACTACTATCCTAAAACATGTTGCATTTGCCAATCACCACTTGTTTAGTTCACAGAGTACTTTCTACCACTGGACGCCACAGAAATGTCGCCTGTTCAGAAACCTCTAATGCAATTGTTCCAATTCAGGAAAGCATCTGCTTGCTGCAGAAAAGCAGCCTGGCAGACCACCCCTCCAGTGAGGGGGCACAGTCATCAGTTATCCACATCTGATATCCGCATCTGATCCCTGTTGTGGGCAGTTTCTTGCTTTTGCAGTAGACAAGCACTGGAGTAAAAAACAAACAACAACAAAAAACCAAACACAACCAAACCTTTCCGGCATGTAGCAAAGCAAGGACTCCACCCTGTCGCTGCCAAGTGGGAAACTAGAGTTAGAAACCTCTCTCTGGCCACTGTTAACCTCTGTCTCCCTTCTGCACAGTCCCACAGCTCTGAGGAGCAGCCACAGTTGTGCTGCCTTTCCTGCTGGATGGGATGCACAGCTTCCACTTCTCCAAGAGGGATTGAACAGTATTTTCCCCCTCAAGGCTTCTCCACCTTCCTTTGTCATCCTGTAATATCTAATGACTGTTGAAACACTAAACATTGCCAGTAGCCAAGATCCAATTTGCATTTTGATCACCTTGACAGTATTTTTCTTGAAATTCTGTGCCCAGAATTAGTGCAAAGGTAAGAGTACAAATAGGACTGACTTCCTATTACAATATTTTCTGCAGTTCTGTTGCTTTTGAAGTCACACCATCACTGATAAGTTGTTTTGGTATTCTCTGGGCACTTTTTTGCTTTTTGTTTTTGTTTTGTTTTGTTTCTGTATTAGAAATCAGGGATACTGGGAGAAAAACAAAATAAAAGCAACACCAAAAGTTTCCATTCATGCAGAGACAAAGTCCTTTTCCTTGGAAGAGCTGACAGACTCACAACTCCACATCAGCTACGAAATATCTAAATTACTTTTGACAGCAATTCTGTTAGTTAGCCAACATAAATTTCCCTCTTCCTTTGCTTAAATACATCACGATGGACTTTTGCAACCCTGCGCTCTGACCAAGAAAAATAAGGGAATGTAACATGATGTAAAACCAGATTTTATTGCTTCTTTCACCTCCCCAGTCTTGAAGCTGAATCCTGGTCCCAACAGCCACACCAAATCCATAGTCTGCCATCCTCCTACCCTAAGGTAAATCAGACAAATCCTGCCTGACCTTCGGTTTTTGGGAAGGCATATACTCCTTTAAGACAGTGCCTGCATACACAGCTCCTGTGGCCCAGCTCTGACTACACCCTTGAAACATCCTGACTGGGGAGATCCCCCTTGGAGCACCTTGGGCACCTGTGTGCCCCCACGTCCCTTCCAGCATGGCAGCATTACCTGCTGAGAGGAGGGAATCATAGAATCATAGAATGCGTTGGGCTGGAAGGGACCTTTAAAGGTCATCTAGTCCAACCCCCTGCAGTGACTGAGGACATCCTCAATTAGATCAGGTTGCTCAGAGCCCCACCACCAAGGCATGACACTCCATGGATGCAGTTGTGCTTTGGCCATGCTGAAGGCCAGCCAGAACAGGCCTGAGCACGCAGGCATCCAAAAACTTTCTCGTATCCAACTAACAGTTACTCAAAGGAGAAAGCAAACTCAGGTATCCATCCATCCATCCATCCATCCCAGAGCATTTCCACTATAGCAGCAAATTTCTGCTGCTATAGGGAGAACTTAAACCAAAGCTGCTGCACTGTCTTGTTTCCCACACTTAAAGGACATGGAGCAGGGAAAAAGAAAGGTCAAGTTAACAAGCAATAACTGAGCATGAAAGTCATATGACTCTTAAATGCAAGCAGCCAGAATTCCTGAAGCTGCTGCCAACAATTAATAGAGTCAGCTATTCCACTTAGGAACACTCTGCGGCCTTATTAAGACTAATTGCCGTGAGCTATCTGATTGCCCAGGCTGGTGGGGAGATAACCCGTGCAGGGAAAAGTCTATGTGCTGGCTTGCAGACTGGGATTCTCAGCTCTGCTTCTCTAATTTCCTTTGGGTTTGTTTTTTTTTTTTTTTCAAAAAACTGAGTAGCGCAGGTTTTTTTAAAGTCTGCATGATAGGAAGCCTCTGTCATATCTACTGTCTAAAACTAATGGATTGCTGTAACACAGACTTCAGGACTGCAAGTTAAAAAATGGTTTTTACTTAGACTACCACAAATCTCAAATCTGTGCCTTTCCTTGAGCCATTCAAACGACAGCACTCAACATAAGCATTTGGAAAAGAATAATTTGAAGAGAGGAAGACTTGCTATTAACTAGGTACAGAGAAAACTTCAGTTTTAATTCAGAGTGGGAGGGAAGCTAAATTTTGTTCAATTTGGTCACATATTCTTAGTCACTAAGCAGTTGGTTTAACTAAACAACGTTAAATACCGGAAAATTATACTTTAATTAGAAATGTTGCTTTTAAGGAAGACTGCAGAGCAGAACTGTCTTATCTGATGCTCAAAATGTATTTTCCTAATTCTAGTACATATACATTTATATTAAAGTTGCAAAGTGTTCTTTCATAGATTTCTGAAACCTGTTTTGTACTACAGATGTCGTCGTATGTGATCACTTCTAAACTATTACCCTTCATTTAAAAAACAAAGATAGATCTCAACTCTATTACTGAAGTTAAAAAACATTTTATTTTTATCAATGCCATTTGTTTTTAGGAACTTCATAAATAATTTTCAGCAACACAGAGTTTCTTTTTTAAAAAAAATGCAGTATGACTTTTTCTGGTGTTATGTGTGATGGTAATTTTGGATAACTACAAGGATACTCAGTAACTACAAGGCAGGATTGCAGCTGGCTCAGTAACCTTGAATTGCATGTTGCTTTCAGTCAAAAGAAAGGGAAATAATATTGGATAAGCCCAATGTATCAACCAGAATTTAAGTTAATTGCAACTTTTAAGACTACAGACACCTAAGACAATGATTCTCAAGGAACAATAAAGCTTTCATTTTTCACTTTAGTGGCCAACGAAAGTTAGAAACAAAGTCTTCATCACACCATGAGGAATGCTGTTGTGCTCCTCAAAGAAGAAATCAGTGACCTCCAGATCCCTGTCATCACCTTCTACACTCTCAACTGTCTTTGTAATGCTGGAGACTTGAATATGACACTTCTGTTTCTGTGGAAAGTTATGGTGCCTCACATGCAATAGACTCTCACGGAAATTATCCTGCAGATCACAAAAATATGTCTTTCATCATAAAATGCAGATTTGTTTTGAAAATAAATATTGAAAGACCTGAACTCCTCAGTGATGACACCTATCTTCCTGAAACATGATTCTCTTCATATATGCACTTCAGAAGCTGCCAAACATTTTGCATCTTTGTCAAATACTGACTGACCTTGTTTTGGAAAAACCTGTTTTCCCAGATGATTCAAATGTAAAATTCTAACTTCAATGTACAAACAATCAAGAGCAAAGAGATGCCATAAATAGATAACCCTTGATCTCATCTACCACTGCCTCAGTGACCGGTGACAGATGACCGATGATTGTCTGCTGTGTTAAAACTCGATTTTGTTTGGTCATTTTTCTGATTAGTCCCGGCAGTTCTGTGGCTCTGCTACTGAAAAACCAAACCCCTAGAACTTTTTTGTTTCAGTTTCAAGCACATGTTAAAATACTAATCTTCAGAAGAATATCATCTGCTGTTTTAAAGACTATTCACTGAATCTAAATCTTTTGACTAAAAACATTCTCAGCAAAACGTCTTCCCTTATTTTTATTGGCATCCATGTACTCTATATTACTAAAATCTTCAGAAACAATCTGTGATTGATTTCAGATAAAATAATATAAAGTCAAACTTGCCAGCGAACGTCCCTAAACAGGATACTTAAAAATCACATATGCTGTTGAAAGATCGCATTTACTTTGTTATCACTGCCTTTTCTAACAAACACCTGAAAGTACATTCAAGCCCAGTTAGCTGAGCAGAAACTACCTCTCCAAGATCATATTACTATATTTTAGCAACATTTCTTTCAGGTTAACCTAATTATGTATTATTGTTTCCCACTACTAATTTGAGAAGGAGTTGTTTGTATCTTTTCATAGGACAAGGGTTTTTATGGAATGGCTCTACCCAATCCTCTTTAAAAGATCCTTAACATAACCCTTCTGAAGTCCCCTGGCTTAGTCCCCTGGCTCTTCTCCTTCCCCATCCAGCTGCCCTGACGTTCAGAAAAACGTGGAGCAAAATGCACTAGACATGCATGTGTATGACTTAATAAGCTGCATTAGCTTGTGATGAGGCCAGTCTGAAAGTTTTGAGCATCACAACACTCTGGGTGGGGGGGTCCCACAGTGCAGCTCACGGGGGAAAACGAGAGAGAATCTCTTCTCAAGCAGTAGACACATCACAGCAAGCTCGCCATTTGCTAAGTATTTGTAAAAAAGTACGTAGCTATTAGTGAGGAGTCTTCTTCAGTTACATTAATCTTTAATTTGAGATATTCTGTTTCTCTCATCTTATTATAACAGCTGAAGTTGACTCTTCCAAAGCCTAAAAATCAATACCATCTCCATTTACTATCTATGAATTACTAGTAGAGCAACCAAAATCATTGCTGGCATTGCTCTGGCACATGCATGTCAGTATAATGTAAATACTAGAGATGTGCATATATAATAACAGATATATGAATGTAAAGATTATATACATAGGACAATTGTAGATAAAGTCCAGAGTGACAGTGATTACCACGGATCAAAACTACAAATATATTCAAAACAGACCACAAAAATCAGGGCAGGATGGGTGGATGTATACCAGGTGAAGGACAACTCTATAGTTATCCTAGGCTTATGTTTCTCTCCAAGATCTTTTACCAGCTGTGTTCAGAAGCAGGATCTGGTCTAGATAGCCTGTGGTGTGACCTACAGTGGTTGTTTTTAAGTCCTTTATTTATAACTCCAGGCATGTTTGTGCAAATATCTACAACTTTTTCTTTGGTTTCCTCTAAATATATATTTTTTTTTAAATTGCAGTATCCATTAAGTGCTTAATTTTACTAGAGTCACATGAATCAAAAGTTTCTTTTAATGAAATATCGATGCGGAACATGCTTGCTGCTTACTTGCTCACTGAAGGGAGATAAAGTACAAATTGTCTCGACATGATTTAAAAACTCCTACCCAGAGCTTCCTTACCCTAGATGATCTACAGCAGAAGTAACCCAGGCAACCGATTTGGCTTAAGTGTCCTCAACAAAATCTGACATTTCCACCTTCTTTCTCATGCATGTCAGCTTTGCAGTAAGAAGAGACACCCAGTGAGGAGCTTAACAGATATCGTCCAGACTCTAAAGAGCAGGTTGATTAGATCAACACCCCTGTGCCTCCAGATTTTGTCATTAAAGTTCACTGCAAATCGCCTAGGCTCTCCTTGACACTATTTTACACGTTATCAACTTGCTGAGTGATTTTACCTGGTACAGGCTGGCAAGGTGGTGTTTAGTTTTGATCAGAAAGGGTTGGTTGACTCCCGGATGATCCACATCATGAGCTGCAGCAGCGAGCAGTCCGAGCATGATGTCCGATGGGGTGAGGAAGTTGGCAAGCTGAATCACACACATTAATCACAACAACACCACAAAGAGTAAACACTATTTTTTTTCCCCCCTTTTGGCAAATAAACAAAGCAGCTGACATCATGGCATTGCTTAGTTCTGAAGGCATTTGTACACAAACGTCAAATCGAAAATAAATTTTGTGAACAATGTTTTGAAGGTGACTGTTGAACAAACCTCTGGAAAGACAGCAGACTATATACTCATATTTTATTACAGTTTGCATTTCTTATATTTTTATCTTTCATGGCAATATAAGGACTGTTGTTACAAGAGTGCTTGAGCATAATCTAAAAGACTCAGTTTAAAAAAGTAAGTATACTAGTAGGTTGGCATACGTTTAGCATACATAATAAGAGCTCTGCTTCACATAGCATTTAGTGATACCAGCGATATATCAGGCTTAATTTTTCCAGCCCAGCACTGTGTTCTAAAATAGTTTATAAACTTTTGAAACTTTAAACCTGTCTGTTAGATGTCTCAGTTCAAATATAGGTATTTTATCAGAGAAGATAATTTTCCTTTCTAACTTCAGACATTCAAGTTTGAAAACCTGTCCAGAATTTTTTCTTCTATACAGCTTATCATTCAGAAGCAAATTTTGATATCATTGGAGAAAAAAATAAATGAAGTCTTAGCATTTGCTGTTTCTGAGAGTGCGGTAGTTACCACTAGCCCAGTAAGTCTGTACAGTGTACAGGTCTATGAGCTGAAAGAAGCACCCTAAGATGAGAAACGAAGAGCAGCGTGGTGCAGATTCTGAATGTCAGCTGTTCTCCCCATCTCCTGACAGAAGGGACTGGCAGATCTTGCAGGAGATGGAAATACAGGAAAGCTGCGGCCTGCTCCTGCCCTCACTTACCATTACTATACTCTGGTTGAACAATTTGCTAATCCTAGCAGACCTTCCTTTCATTTAAGTCAAGCCAGAAAAGACTGGTTACATTCTTATACTGTGGCTCGGCACTACCGTGTCAGGGCACCTTCCAGTGTCACCCCCCTGCACTGTGCGGGCTTGCTGCAGCCATCGAAAGCTGCTGTTCATTCGTGCAGAGGACACCCTGGCAAAAGACCCAGTCGAAGGGACCGCTCTCCCCTTTTCTGGTGTTGCACTGCTCAGTTTGCTATTTCGAAATATGGATGTGAGGGGCTTATGCCCTGAGGTGACCAAGGCAGGGGCACGCATTTCCTTCTGCTGGGTCTGACAGAAGGACTGCAGCCACGGGTAGGTGGCTGGTACACACGGTCAAGGTGGCTGGAGCCTGCACAACAGCGCTTTGATACGTCGCCTGCATGCTGAGAAGCGACTCCAGTAGCTTGTTTGAAATGTCTGTAATCTGCAGCTGACTCTACTACTGACTTGCTGCTGACTTCAAGCACGAAATCATTTTCTGCTACCTAAAAATAGCTTTTTGTGCTGTGGGTTGTTTTGCTGGGGTTTTTTTTCCGTCCTGGGAAAAAAACTTGACAATTATCTGAAAGCAACATCAGCGTGAAAGGTTGTCATTACCTTGGGCTCCCTCAGATAGCAGTGCATAGCTTGTGTGACATCAGCAGCATGGACAGCATTGTGGTATGGGTTTTGGCTATGGTAGTCTTCTTGAACCATAACTGAGAACCAAAAGAGAAAACAAAGATCCTTTTGTCTCTGAATGCCACAGCCACAAGTGGGAACTGGAGTTAAAATACAATTTGAGGTTTTACAGTCAGCTGCCTAAGGAGTTTCTGCAAATAGCTGTAGCTTACTTAGACTGGTGCTCTTATTGGGATACCTTTAGAAAAAAAATGCATGAAAGGATTTGTGATGCCCAAGGGGATATACTGTGTCTAGTTCATAAATCAACTCTTTCTTGCCTTAGTGAAGGCTCTCATTCAGGAGTAAAATAAATAAGGAAGAGAGGCAAATTTATCCACAACGGAGTATAATTATTTAGGCTGCTGTCACAAGGGGAGTAATATGTCATTAAGGCAGTACCACCTATTTTACTGCAGCAGGGGCTGAGGCCCTGATATCCTGGCATCATTTGTTATTTGAGTATGGTGAAATACAAACCAGAGTCAAAGACATTCTTACATCCGCCAGGCAGAGAATCAAAAGATACAGCACTGAGGTATTCAGAGCAAAATCTTCTGTGATAGTTTTAGTCACATCTATGTGTTCATTTTCAAACAACAGTCCCTCTCGTTTCACTTTGCAGTGCTGGAACCGCTCCAGCTGGACCAGGAGCACCAACTAACCTTTTAACTCTCAGCTTTCACTTGCTGAGAAAATTGCAGAGGATTGAGCTTCGCACTCATCTGTTGCTTGCAGCAGTGTCTGCACCATTAGGTGGTCTTGGGGCAACACTACGTGAACACTGGAAGCTGCATGGGATCTTGCCCAAAGCCCTATCCTAGAAACTACCAAATTAATCAAACAGAAAGGTAATGGGCAAATTTCCTGTGGTACTCCTCTCCCGCATGCAGAACGCCAAAGAAAGTCCTAGCCTTCAGTTTGTTTCCAGCTCCACAAACTTCTGAAGTTACAGTGGGTGATCCTTTAAACCCTGGCTACCACTAGCTCTAATTATCTGAGCGTCCCTTCACAGCTGCCCGCAAGAGTTAGAGATGGCAGGGATATTTTGTCTGTCTCCACGCCAGAGGAATGCTTTCCAGAAGTGGAAATGAGTCAGTTTTAAAGAAGAGACTCTGCTGTGGAAACTCTGCCTGTCAGCCTCACAAACTGGCACTCAGCTGCAGTCAAAATATGATGCAAAAAGTAACTGATTTTGGCCAAATTTTTTCTTTTTGGTTCACTGACAGCATGGGGCTAATATTTCTGTTGGCAGTAACAGCAGCAGGGGCTTTCATCAACACTATTCAGTGCAGACAGCTTGATACAATTTGTTAAATTCTGGACATAAGCTTTTAACTGCCTTGGGTCTCAGTGGTTTATTAGTCACTAAAATAATTACACTGCACCACAATTGTACTGTGCACGGGTCGGTTCTGCAGTGTCTGTCTGTCTGTGTGGGCCTGCTCAGCCGGCCGCATCTCTGCACTACATACATTTTTCAAAATCACCAGTGCAAATGTGGTACTGGCATGCTGCAGCCCAATGTAGTCTTTTGAAGTCCCTCCACTGAACAAATAGATACTGACCCAAGTACCCAAGTGCCTGTAAATTGTATGTTAATATACATCACAGAAATGTTTTACTGAAATATTTGCAACATTGCAATTTTACATAGATACTTAGACCAAGCCAGTGCTTTCTTTGATGTCCTTTTTAAGCTGTAAACTGCATTTAGAGATGGCTTTGAGGTGTGCACTTACCTAAAAACCTGTGTAAAGTAACCACATCTAACTGGAAATGGTGAATAAGTCCATGCACATTGAAGAGATGACAAAGCAGAGTTACAAGGCTGTTACCTAAAAGCAGAAAGATTCCCTTAACATGTAGTTACAAACCAATCAAGACTAAGAATCCTGGTAACTACCTCAGTCAGCTCCTATCACTTTAGCTCCTATCATACGAGCTTAGATGACACTCATATACTCCAATGTAACTTACATAGACTACTCCTACATATAACTAAGATTTATGGTGGGGGCTGCATGAGTGGAGCGCCATGCTTGTGTCTAGATGCCATAAAGTCATGTTTGCTGTTTCAACATGACACAGAAGGTGAATTGACATAGTTTTAACTGGAAATGTTTTTGACAGGCTTGTCTGAGAATCACGTTATCTTCATAATCCAGGTCTATCTCCAAAAACGACAGAAGAAGGGCTTTTCTGCCACTTCAGTTTGCCATATTGTACTAATTAATTAATCAATTACTGAGAAATCAGCAGTTTTTGTAATTATCTTTTTTATTTTGCATATGGCTGTACAAACATGTAATTAACCCACGTACCTAACTCGGCTATCTCATAATGATGACGCAGACAGGAAAAATGAGTTGCAGCATTTACAGTCTCCAGTCTCACAATAATCTTACATTGGCCTTACTGTGAATTCAAGACTAGGAACACTGGCAAAATTGAACCTAACTAGTATCATATGATCAACCACACATACACAGAGTATTTAAAAAAAGGTTTGCACTGAGTAATTCAGCAGCAATGTTCCCAGAGATGTTAAAAAAAAAAATCAAACCAATCAATCCATACAATGTGTAAACAATGTTTGAAGGGAGTATTTTCTTATAAAATGTAAATCAGGAAAGAAAATAATTATATGTAAAAAGAAGACATGGGAAATTATTGGGGCACAGAAAGGTAATTTAGAAAAATGATGCTTTTGCTTCCCTTGCCATTTGCAGCCTTTTCCAGTCAGTCACTCAGCTGGACTACCCTCTAAACTAACTTTTTTCTACACCTTCTGCCTCAGCCAAATATAATTAGATTGGGGGTAAGAAATTCCTACAAGCAATACAGAAAGAAGAAAGCTGTGATCATGATCCTCTTCAGTAGTTCAGATCAAGAGGTATTGCCTAGACACTGGTGTGTGTGTGGTGTTACATGCACATATTTACACAAAATATTTCACAGATTTTTACCGTCTTAATGAATTTCCTAATTTTTGCTGCTGAACAGAAGGAAGAGTATCTTTAGTTATAGGTATTTCATGTTGTTAGAAACTGATTATGGAAGTCTGGACTAATTGACCGATGCATCTAGTAGGTTATATTTAAAGTACCTTTGGAATTTCCCAGGAAAAGGAAATTGAAACACTTTGAAAAGGTGACCACGACAAATATAGAACACTGGAAAACCACACTTTAAACATTATCCTATAATTCAGGAAAAGCCTGAAAAAGTTCAAGAAGATGATCTGAAGAGAAGCTAACTGTGTCCAATTTCTCTTCAGTAATCAAAACTGCAAACATTTAGCAATTAACGAATCAGGGATTTTTAGACTACTCATATGTGACAGATATTAAAATAAAAACTTTTTAAAAAACACTTACCATTTGTCAAGCGGTCAAACAAGAAAATGTCAAAATCCCACATTCCCACTTTGGATAGCATATGCTAGAAAAAACAAATATAAAAAGGCAAATGACTGGTACGCCAAACTGTAAAGCAGTTTTAATTATTCCACATTAATCAATCACAGGATTGGTTGCTGCAGCTTTAAAGTTTTGTTTGGGAAAGCTGTATTTGAAATATCACACATAAGGAGCCAAATTTATCTATACAGCGTGAAATATTACTTCCACTTTTAACTGAGGAGGTTTTGAAGTTCACACTAAAAACACCTTCTAAATGGAGCTCAAGACATGGAATAACACGAAACAAAATATTATGAAAATATTCCCTTTTACTGCACTTTTTTATTGTTCTTTTGTGTCCCTGAATCCATTCAGTACAAATTCACTTAGGTTTTTATTACAGCAGAACACAATCTTAGCTGTCATGGTGAATATGAATTATATTTTGCTAAACAAACTGATACAGGGGAATAGCTTTTATAAACTCAGATATAGCATTTCTGTGAAGACCACTCAGCCATGCAGAAGAATCCATCTCTACCACAACCTACAGTGTTTTTACAGCTACACTAGTTCAGTCAATTGACTGTGTCTGGACTAACTTTATGAACTAAATGGCACATGAGTGAATGAAATGTGTGTTCACTCCCACCACTTAGTCCATACTCAAACCAGTTCTGGATCCTTAATTACTTTGTCATGTAATCTCTTGCAGAGGATAAAAATTGCCTAGGCACACAATCCCAATGCCATCAGTTTTGCAAGTTTCACTAGAAAATACCCTTTGAAGCAAGTACAAGATATGCAAAATGAGAGAACTATATTTTGATTATCATGAAGTTCTTTGCAGTGAATGTTGCCTGTTCCCTAGCTTTTGTCATTACGAAGAGCTAGTGTGGGTTGCCTAATAGCGGCTCCACACCAGCTGAGAGACAGCTGTCTTTTTTCAAGAGGATGAACTAAATCCTGTGTCAAGGCTGCACTTACTTAGATCAGTAACTCAGCCAGGGATCCTTCATCCTTTAATAAATCCAGATAATAACTTCAGTTGACAGAATCTGAAAACGCTGAATACATTCAGACATTTTCTTATTGCTCTGAGACTAAGCCTTTAAAGCTTGTGCAACCACACAAAAAAAATGGGCAGTCTATTTATGGTGAGGCAGACAAGTAAAGGAGTTCATTTAAGAAAGATTAGCCATACATTCGCTTATCTCAAGACTGAAACAAAACTGACACTCTTTGGGATATTATGAAAAGAAATGGAGATCCGGAGACCCGTCTTACTCTTGCTTGCCCAAGGTAGTCTTCATCCAGTAAGTACAGAGAGGCTTGTGGTACAATTCCACGCAGTAACCGGGATGCATGGAAATACCTCTGGAAACTTAACAGTCTTTTCACTTTTTTCTTGGTGCCGATTTCCCCTGAGAGTGTAGTATCTGTGAAAAGCAATTGGTACAGAAAACATGAGACCCAAGACAAAGGATGACATTCTCAATTACTTAACAAAAGAAACAGCAAAACCTTTAACACAGTGATACAAAAATCATAAAGCTCATGCTCCTTGCCAATCCACAGGAAGAAGCAGTATTCAAATCCCGATACTTCAGTATAATATACGTGTTTACTTCAGACAGGAAATTTCCTCCAGGAAAAAGAGTAACCATAGGACTTGGAAGGCCTAAGCCGAGTACACTGCCTGTCACCCGAGGCTGGGGGGTGTGATCTATCACCTAACTGTGGTGTCTAGCGGGAGCCTAAATGATCAGACAGAGTTAGGCACAGGAAAGCTGCTCTTACTCTTCTGTTCCTCTGTTCCCTGGCTATACATCTGAAAATAGCATTACCTTGCTACCTCACAGGAGTGTCACTGGACTATATTAGAATTGCATAGCATTAGCATATAAAACCAAAAAAGTGACACCAAAGGAGACCTCAAAATACAGTTTGAAAGTACAAGTGAATGACTCGCTTTGGGAAAATGAGAGAAAAGGGAGAAAGAAGTAAGAATAGGTTAATAATCCTGTTGTATTGTCTGCTGTAATTTCTACCTATTAAGGAAAACTATAAACGATGAAAATCTACAATTAGGAAAGCAAGTATATTCAGACAATACATGCATTTCTGGTTACACAACAGAATATGTTCTTCTTATTCAGTACCAGGAGAATTCTAGTTCACTAATGCTGTATCAGGAGATTATCATATAAGGCTCATAAGTATGACACAAAAAATAAGGGCATTTTTATACAGTGATTAAATCAGTAATTGGAGTAATTAAATTACTTCATTATTAGTAAGAAAAATAAAAACTAAAACTAAATCTTGTAACAGCTCTTTCGTCTGAACTTTTAACAGAACCTCACGTGTCATTGTGATGCTTTGCGTTTGCAGTCTGGTATAAGTTTTGGAAAACGAGAGGACAGAAACTGGACAGTTGTTCGAAGACAGTAAGATTCAACACCATTTTATTTGTAAGGGGAACCCTGTAAGAAACTGAAGATGAATCGCTGCTTTTAGAAAACAGTGCTGATTGTTCCAGGTAAGAAGCTGCATAGCAATTCACCGGATTTTAGGTTTAAATAAGAGCTCAGGAAAAACGTCCATGAACTGAAGATGACTATTCTGCTCTTTCTTTTCATGAAAAAATGCTCAGCATTTGTTCTGTTGTGAAATTAAAATATGACTTTGCATGGTGTTTTAAGAGTATTATTATTCTGAGAGGTTTTTCAGAGAAGTCATTAAGGTTTTTTTGATCAAAGATGGTTCAATATTTGATTTCTCCAACTGCACGTGTGGGCACCTTCTGTAGCAAATTTTTTCTTCCTTAAGCAATTCAACAGCTATGAGCAACACAAAGTCAGTAATAACAACAACAAAAAAACATACTTACACACTGAATATCAATAATTAATACATTTTCTTACACCTGTAAGTCTCACACTTCTTGTGGGCAGCCCGAAGACCCCATGAAGTTTTAATAATATAAAAGCACAGAATGTTATTGCAATTTGACAAGCCATGTGTTTTCAAGAATGTGAACAGTAACAATGTCACTACTGTACCAGCCTGAAGGTTAGATTTTCATTTATGATGTGCCAGCACCTGCCTTAATTCCCTCACACATTTTAAAAGCTGGAACAATTTCACGGCCCATTGAAGGAGTGACTAACGTAGGTGCTAACAGTTACCCAGTGACAGCAACATGTGGAGGAACTGGTAGAGTTGTTTTTGCATTTCTTTTCATTTATATAGTGCTGCTAAGAAGTGGCTGGCATTCAGTTTAAATCCTGGCTAACAAAACACTCTTAAAAGTGATTCACTTTTTAAATTGTGCCAACAGTTTCTCAGCTTCCCAACTCTCCTAATTCCATCTTTTCCCCCAAACTGTCATTGCTTCAGGTAGCAAGTTTAAATTTTAAAGTGCAGAAAACTTCCTTTTAGTAGTTGCTTCAACTCATTTTATCTAAGTTAATACCTGTTTTTTTCAGTTACAGACAGATGACTGAAATTACCATCTATGTTCCCCTAAACTGCCTTTAAAACTCGCACATAAACTTGCTGTGAGTAATCTGAAGGTGAAGTCTGGCCTGAGTCCTAACAAGTAGACATACACCAAATTACAAAGTAGTTATTTTATCCTTTGGATTACCAAATTATTTCAGTAGCACAAATAATACTTACCCAACCACAAATGCATCAGCTTGAAATAAATAATTTCCTACTGTGAAACATATTATCTGAATTGAACCATAAGGCTTGTTGCCACTGCTTTGTCACATTGCTCCGTATGGTTGTCCCGGGCCTCAAGTGAAATTTAATGACTGGCAGACAGTCTGAAATACGACTTGCTGTTTCAGATGAGCACCATATCACAATATATTATGCAAAAAATATACCCTCATTTTCATGCATAAGGAAAGGAGTTCATAATACTGGTAAAGAGTGGGAGGAAATGCATCTTCAAAACAGGGCTTTTGCCCAAATCCCGCACTGCGGGAGGTCTACTTGCAACCTCTGGATCTTAACTTAAAGGCTATCATATTAAAATCACATCCTTGGGGTCATTTCAGTAATAATTGATTTGTCTGTGAATCACAGGACTTGGACTGCTAAAACCTGTAACATTTTACTACGCTATCCACAATAACATACCTTATCATGATGGTATCTTGCATAAAATTGGACTAAGGCTTTGCACTGCTTTGAGCACAACACCCCTCCCTACTATTAGAATCTCATCATCATTTTCTCTTTCCCCTGCAAAGATCAGTGTGAAACGAAAAAGAAAAGCACAGCCATACAAATTTGAGACAAAAAGAAGGATTGAAAAAGAAGAGCAAAAGATGAAGCAGCTGGGAGTGAATGTTAAAATTCTGTCCTGAGCTTAGCCATTGCACCTGAATCATCCAGCAGCAGAGTCATTCCTGGCATATGGGATCCACTAACCGACACAAAATCAAGATGCAGTTTTAAGATGAAATTAAGGATTTATGTGAATGACTTACAGTAATACACCGAGCATATAAGTTCTTTACCAACAACTATAAATTCCAATTTAAATTGTAAAGATAAAATTTCACTGACAACACCTGACATAAGTGATATGGTGACTTTGAAACATAAAGAGTTATTGATAGCTATTTCTAATTAGGTTAAACTGAACTACAAGTAAATGAATCAAAAATATCACTGTGGATATCGCTGCGGATATAGTTGTGGAACTATGGGCGCTAAACCATATGCTGTATTATCTAGTTATTATGCTGTATTATCTAAAGAACACAGGCTGCAAGGCTCACATGGGAAGCATTTAGTAATTATGTGCAATTTTGAAATGAACGTGAAAGACAAGCAAGAATGTCTTTTGTTTACACCCATAAAACCTCCCTTGAGAACTGTGTTTATCTTTAATCATTGTGGCAACTTCTGAATGTTTTGTTTGCCTAAAAAAACCCCATCATCTGTATCTCTTAAAAGTTGCCCATTTTCATATCCTGTGGAGTTACTGCCTAGCACAGCGGTTGGAGAAACCCTTCTTTTTAGAGTGAAGAAAGTTATTGTATGAATTATATAGACATATTGTATGAATTACGTACACATTCACAGAAGCACCCGCATAAGCATTTCCCCCAAAGCTTAACTTCGACCTTCAAAAACACAGGCAGCCTGAGCTCACAGAACATCTCCTGATGTGTTTTAGTGGGCAGCAAAAGTGGTTGCGATTTTCTTTAGGTAATTTGACAGCCACATCACGTATGTGCACTATCAGACTGTGGACGATGCCTGGGTACTGCACGCGGGCCTCCAGAGGTTAAGGAGCTACAGGAATCAGTGGTTGCCTTCTCTCTCCTAACAAAGTTCCTCTAGTTACTCTGCTCGCCTTAACATGATCTAGGGCTCATTACATGCCCAACCTCTGTTATTTACGGGAAAGAGGTTTCCTGCACTAGGAACTGCTACAGTTTTCTTTCAGGTTTCTTTCACATCGCTGTGCTAGCGCGTGCCCGCAGGCAACGTGAATATAAAAACGACAGAGGTTACCTTAACAACGTGGAGTTAACATCCAGAAACAATCACGTCAATCAAATCTGGACAAGGATGTACTTAAGCCTACACCAGACATTCATTACTTTGTTGCCGTTCCTTCAAAGGAAGCAAAATTGGTTATGCATTCAAATAAGGCCCGCCCCTCAGTTTTCCTTTGCAGTATTGCCTTTTTTTGTTTTATTGCACCTCAGCTTACAACAAAAATGGGTCACCCAGCAGCATGTGTGGATAACAACAGTTTCATTACTTTTCAAAAGCCAACTGATTCAGAAGCAGAAAATGTTTTTCCTCTTCTTTCCAAAAGGATGCAGAATAAATCAGGCCCTCAAGCACTTGTCTTTGATTCATACAGTTTATAATACCCTTTCCCTTCTTCCGAGGATGCAAAGACATTCTGTACTCAGCCACTGCTCTACATCTGAAGAGTCAGGCAGGACTGGCAGAAAAGTGCTGGAGCATCTGGAAGATAAGGGGAGAGGAACAGACCCGCAATTTACCGTCCAGCCAGTTTGCCAACAGTGAGGACTCTGAGAAACAATTTGTCTCTGGTCATACAGACTATGGCGGTAATTTCCTGCACTTGTTTCTGGCGTGGCAGCTGATTAGAATGCTTTTATCTGAGAGACCAAGAAATAAGTAATTGACTTATAAGGAATAATTATTTGGGGCTTTTGGTTGGTTTGTTTGTTTGTTTTCATAATCATGCAAGGCATTTAGATCACCTTTACTCAAGTTTTGTTTGGCATACTCATTCCATGATTTGGTTGCTAAATTTTTCTCATAAAGAAGCGTGCACAGCAGTGACCATCGAAAAAAAAAAAATTACTGTGTCTTCTTAATATCTTCTTACATTGTGGATTTATCTTATTATCCAAAAAACAGTATCAGC